AGCCGTGCCATAAGATTGCACAAAAACAATTTGAACCGACGAACAAAATCTGTTTTTTTTCGCCTCTATAAAAAATCAGTTTTAACACTTCCTCAGACAAGATATTTTGAATCTTGGATTGACAAAAATAAATCACTCCTAACTTTTTTCAAATCGCCTAACGATCAATTTGCCGCATTCACACGCACGAACGAAGCTCATTAACTCAATCGGCTAAACGGTCATTCTCACCATGATTCGGCTAGGTAGGTTCAGTTGCACCCTTCACAAATGACTTGTTCTCTCTTTTATCCGCGCGGTCTACAAACTATCCCATAATTTGGCATGTCTTCGAAGTCTTAAATCTGGCACGGATTAAGTTTCCATTAAACGGATTCTGACTTTGCACAACTCAGTAAACCAACTTATACATGACCAGAATACATTTTTCAGCCCAGTTAAGAAATGTATTATAAATTATTACCTAATCGCCAATTTCAAACAAACCGGAAGCAGCCCAGCTTCAATTCATTTCCTACATTTTTCCTAATTTTTCCAATTTCAAATGGATCGCTAGATAAATGGGAAAATCATTATTTCAAATTGTCCACGAGACATGTCAATGTGCTTCCGCAGTTCTGAGTCAGCCGTGATTTTTTGTTTTGATTTTTTCATTGTTTCTACCTAAATCCCAGTTCAATTCCTTCAAATTGAAAAAAAGTTTGAACTAAGCTTAGATTCAATTAACTGAAATGATAATCTGAAAGGTGAGTTATGATTAACATTTTTTTCTTATATGCCGTTTTTTTCTTAAATTATGTGACTACACGAAATTTATATTACCAGCATGAAATAAAGATCTCTAATAAGCTAAAAATTTGATGGATGATTAGTTTTTTGTTCCGACTTTCGAGACGAAAGTAACGGAATATTTGTGCTCGGGTGGTTTTTTTTTCTTCAGACAAATTTCGACTTTTTAACTAGCCATTTTTGACGGAATTTTTTATATCATTCGAAAGCCATTGTTGTCCTGAACTTGAAAAGTTTGAAAAGATATTTCACCTGTGATCATTTTTCGTAAAGTTATGAAGGTTTAAAGATTGCCATTTTGGCCATTTTGACCAATTTGGGACAACTAACGCGCGATATAATTCGCGCTACTAACGCGTAAGCGGAGATTTAATCCGTCTTATAAATCGTTCCAAATTGGTTGAACGAAGCTGATATGCCATAATTGATTTTTTACAAGGAATTTATATGGCGTGTGGGGGATGGTTTTCATAAATAAATTTCAAATTTTGGAAAAAAAAATTTCATTTTATTTTATTTCATTTAGTTTTTTATGTCATTACTGCTGCTCCATAAACCTTAAAAGGTAGTCGGAACATTCAGGGCTTCGCCCTGACCCGAGCAGTCTTGTTGTTATTTGAGCTGGTCATTGATCAAAATTTCAATGGTTTCTTCATCTTTCAAGCTGCTTTTTGACACACTTTTCAGTATAACTGCCCCGACTTTCAAAGAAAATGGAAAATTTATGCTTGGGGTGGTTTATTTATTCAGTCAATCTTCGGCTATCGAAATACTATTTTTAAAACAAACAATTTTCTTACACATTGAAGGTATCGAGGAAAAATATGGTTTACCTGCGATCATTTTTGCAAAGTTCTGAGGGTTGAAAATTGCTAATTAGGCCATGCTCAAAACTAAATTATGCGCGCTTTGAAGCTTTGACTCACAATGCTGAAAGGAGTAACGCGGGCTATTTTTGCGCGACTAAATATCCCATATAACAAAGCTGTTCCACGTTGGAATGAGGCTAGCTAAGCTAATCGGTCGTAATAGTTTCGAACTTTGAGTTTCACACTTGATCTTTGATGTTTTCCAAATTGATAGTTTTTTCAAAATTTTCTTTTCCAAAAATTAATCGATATGAATTAAGGGTCAGTCAGAACATGCTTTGTCCTGATATAGGAGCAATTTTGTTGCGGTAAAACTAACTCTGATGCAAATAAAGAAAATTCGTAAAACTAAAAAGGAAAATGTGTCTCTGGCAAAAAAATTCTGTCCGTATTTTTTTCAAACTTTGTGTCAATAAAAAACTTTGCGAATTTAAAACAAACAAATAAGTTTTTGTTGGATATTCTTTGTTTCAACTATAAGCAGCTAATCAGCTTTTTATTGGAATAGAAATTTTATTAACAGAAAAGCTTCATATATAGATTTTTAAATCTGAAATGAATCAAAAACGTGTAAAATCGGTCCGAAATTGCCAGAATAAGGATTTTTCTTTCTAAAGAAGGCGTTCTAGAATATTATGGATGCATTTTTTGCGACAAAATTTCAGCTACATGTCAATTGTTAAACAATAAACTAAAACGGAACGTGTTCAGTGAGTCGATGTATCAGGAATAAATTAGATCGAAGAAATGAAGTTATGTAGTATTTAATTTGATGAATTTTCAAGGATCGATAGAAGCTTTGCTGAGCTGAAATGACTCAAACACATATAAACACATATATTGCATATATTGCATCAAACACATATATTGCATAAAAAGAAATGACTCAAACACATATATTGCATATTTCTGATACTCACATGGTCCGCTGATTTTCGATTTGCCCATTCACCAATTACTGAAGCACCGCCAAAAATTTGTTTCAATCGTAATTAGAAATGCAGCGGGATAAGGACGGATCTATGATATTCTTCAGTGGGCAATGTGTTTTAATTAAATAGAATTTTTATGGATGTTTTCGGCCAACCAATACACTGCAAAAAGCCAAAATTTTCTTTGCTGCAGGGCAATTAGTGAGAAATAAAACATTACAGAAACGTTACGTTTTGAGTTCTTTATGGTTCGATTTTCATTATATTTTGATTTTTTATTTAAATTTTATGTGATGGCAAAAAAATTATGTGTCGCTCGGATGAGGACAGATATCACAAAAAGTACGAAAAGGGAACCTTCTTTTTGTGCAAAAAGTGCAAAAAAAGTCTGACGGTAGGGCCTCAACCTCAACCTATGCTTTTCAACCCAAACGTTCTGGAACCAGTTCAAAACAAGTATTCAATGCATCCAATTACATTCTTGATAACTATTACAGTAAAATACTTAGAGCTAACCAATCATGATCCATGACTAAAAATTACAATAATTTTTATGGCTGAAACTATTTATACTTTTAGCCAGAGAATAAAAAAATTTAACTTAGCAAACAGTTGTTTTTCTTCTCCTCTAACCTCGCAAGAACACCAGTATATACTAGATCTATTGAAACTAGGAAATATAAGAGTTAGATTAGGATCGGTATTAGAATATGAAGTTGCACGAACCTATGAGGCCAAAAATAAAATAGCCTGACAACCAGACGGTGTACCTTTTTCGAAATTACTCAATGAGAAAGCCACCCCGGACATAAACTCATCTGGTGCGACCATAAGAGTCTCGAACAGACCTCTACTAAATTAAACTTAGCAAAATTAAAACAGAAAAGACAAATTAGATCAGAGCGCTCAACAAAGGGAGCCGAGTCCTGAAAAAGCAAAAAATGTTGTTTTAATTTTTTTTTCACAATTTGCTTTAAAATCGAAATATAGTGGTTTCTCATTTCATTGACACCTGAGACTGATCAGTTGTTGACTTTTTGCATGAAAAGATTAAAAAATTTTCAAATTGTTTGAAATATTCAATTTCCTCGAGCACTGCCGGTTCGCAAGTAATCCTAGTACTTATTTTAATAACTTATTCAAAAAGGAAAAAACTTTAAATATCCTTCCTATCAGACAATTAAATGCTAAAACCTCGGCCAGTAATGTAATGAAATCTAAACAATTGTGGGTAGCTTTAAGATCAAAACTTGCTAATGGGTTCCCTTACATATATTTTCTTTTCATTACTTTCAACAAATCATTTTCAAGCAGTTGACTCAAATCTAGAGTTTATAAACAGTCAAACTAAGGCACAAATACAAAAAAAAATCAGTATAAGAAAACAGTGCAAAAACTTACTGCAATTTTTGCACTAACAAACAGACTAACAAACTAACTCAAAATTCTTCTACTTTAAATGGAGCCAAAAAAATGGCATCAAAATTGTTTTTTTTCTATCTTAAAGGCAACCAAACAATTAAAACAATTAAAGTAAAACAATTGGCAAAGCTGGTGTCTACTAGTCTATTAACACAATAAGTGGGTCAAATCACAAGCGGATTTAGGGAAGGCGCAAGAACGGATTTACCAAAGTATACTAATTTTGAAGGGGAAGCAAGCGCCGGAAAAAAAATCAATTTTTTGGTTAAAATTTTCCAAAAAGTGGCTAAGAACGCATTTTTTGGCTTGTTTTTTTTCTTCAAAAATTTGGCAGGGGCGCAGAAAATTCTGTCAAACTGGCTAAGTAAGGTCTATACAGCGATTTGGGAGAACTTAGAAAATCAATTTGGTCTTCCTAACACAAACGCTCGACAAAAGTTTCGAAATTTCTGAAACCCGCCCCCCTCTAGAGAAAATCCTAAATCCGCCCCTGGGTCAAATAGCTTATGTCGATTCATTTTGTAATAAATACGGAGCTAGATTAAATCGCAGCTTACAATGCGCAGTAGCAGAAAATTGAGAGGGGCGCATGAGTTAACAACCCCACCTTAAATTGGCAAAATTGGCAAAATTAATTCCCAAAAAAAAACATCTATTTAATTTTACGCTGGAAGCGTCAATTCAATTTAGACTCCGAAAAAATTGCCTAAATAACACCAGAGCCCAAATCTTCCGCTAAATTCTTCAAAAATGGAATAACAATGCCCCGATTGTTCCGTAAGCTTTTTAATAAATATGTTGTATTTTTTGTTGCAAAACCTAAATACAGGTTAAAAAAATGGGCGTCTTTTTTGAAAATCTGTTCTGAAAGCTTGTCGGTTAGTCTGTTGTAAGCTTTTTTACAAGAATTGATAGCAATTTGAATTATTAGATATTTCTTTTCAAAAATTCATCACCCACACGCGCTGTCATGTATAAAACTCATTTATTTTACGAAAATGATCCGACACAGGTAAAAATTGGCCGAAAAATCAAAATAAGTTCCGTTTAATACTTGGTCAGGAAGCCAGATTTTCCCTAGAAAAACAATTTAGCACAAATATTCTGTTTATTTCCTCAATAGTCTGATAAATTTATCGTTTTGCCCTTATACGAGAAAACTTATTTTATGTATATTTGTAGGCTAACTAGTTCCACCAATTAGGCCACTTTCATCAGTTTGCACAGATTTGCTGAAACTTATCTAGCCGCTAACAGTTTTTGGGTCGCTTGGATTTTGTTGTAAATGGAATAAATTTCCCTGTGTGAGGTTAATTATCATGTTACTAACTGAATCACCCGAGCATATGTCCTTAAGAAGAATTTGGTTCATGTTGTTTTAAATGTGAGCATTTTGTTTTTAGTTGTGGGTTCTGTTGTTTAGTCGAGAAGACAAATTTTAGCTTTTGTATTATATAAACAAAATCCTCTTCCTTGGTGGTTCCTTTTTCGAACATAATTCTTTGCTTGTCCCATAGAAAGAAGTTTGTTCGATTTAAGCGGCACTAAGCAACTCCACATGGTAGAAAATGGATCTACAAATCAGGCAACGAGTGTGAACCAAAAGAAAAATGTATGTCCAAAATCAAGTTTTTCAACATAATTAGGAAAAACGTACAAAAATTGGTTGAAAATCCTTAACTTCGGGGTTTTTGTCTGTTCTTTATTTGAGTTCTATAAGGTCTATAACTGCATGATAAACCATTGCAGCTGGATTCTTCTTTCTTAGGTTTTCCTAATTGGCAATAGTCTACCAATTTTGGGCGCAAAAGTGGGAAATTTAGAAGCGAGACATGCGTTAGAAACAAATTTTGGAATTGATCTAGAATAACATTGGGTCTAAACTGAGATCGAAATATTCCGTGAGCTTGACGGGTGTTAAGGCAGGCCAACTGCAGTTTGCGAATGGTATAAAACCAATATTTGCCAAAACGCTACTTAGAGTAACAGTTGTAACTACTCTCAAATTAGTCATTCAGTGCTCCAACTAGATTATAGCTACAGAGCTAAAGAGAGCTCGTCAAAGCAAAACTCTATCAGGTGCGTTTTGTTAGCTTTGAAGTCCCACTAACAGCCAGTTTATTGATCCTTGTATCTCTTCGTGTATAGACCTTATGTCAGTTCATGTTGACCGACCTATGATTGATATCCTTTTAAGTTTTCATGTTTTTTTTTTGTTTCTTTATTGCCTTTGGAATCATCTTGAGTACAAATAGCCCGAAAAACTGTTAAAAATATTTGAATTTTTCAACAAAAAACATGCACTTTTTAGGAAAGAAACCCCCTTGCAGAAAAAAATATTGCAAGTACAGAAAAATGAACAGGGGCGGATTTAGGGAGGGATGCCAAACATTTTTAATGCCAAAAAATGGAATTTAAATGCTTTTTTTCTAAAAGTTATTTCACGTGGATTGTATTGTAAATAATTGGCAAAATTTGTGACTATTCACACAATAATTGGGTCAAATCACCAGTGGATTTAGGTAGGAGCGCGGGAGTGGACGCACCCCCCCCCCCCCCCCCCCCTCAGGAATTTGACCCTCTGCCGACACAAAAGGGTCCCCACCAAAGGAACATTTTTGAGATATTCATTTGTGGTGACGGACCCTAAAATTTTTCTGAAAAAATATATCATCCCTTCCGCCGAGAAAATCCTAGATCCGCCTCTGAAAATAACCATACGGCGCGCATCAAAATCTCGATCACGATCACGAACCAGATTGAAAAAAAAACAAGTTAGCATCAATAATTTTTTAGAAAAAAAATCAAACACATCTGATCAATTGTTTGAGATATAATCTTTCATGCATCATTTGTTGAGTTTTACCAAGTGTATAAAAGTGGACGATTGCTTAGCCGCGGGACTTCTTGCGGTGATATTGATCAAATTATCAAACGAAGTCCAAAATGCTCTCACAATATGTTTTTTTGTTTCTTTACGTACGTGAAAAGCTCTGAGAGACCAACTGGTTAGAGAATAAAAATCCAACTAAGCCAAACGAACAAACATGTATAATAAACACTCGCGGCTCAAGAGTTTAAAGCGTGTTTTAAAGTAGACCATTTAACCATATAACGCATTACTATAACGTATTACCATTCGACCATTGCTTAGGCGAGTACAGTCATTATTGATGGTTTTGGTAGGTACTAATCACAATCAGCACTTCGAAGTAAGCACAAGCTGACGCTTTTTTTCGAATTTTTATCGGAAAAAAACAGCCGCCGCAGAAACTTGTCAAAAATTCTTTTGTGCTTCAACTAACTGTTTTATTTAGTAAAAGCGTGAAGTGATTTTTCAGTGACTTTGTGTCCATTTTAGCAGCTGTTAATTTCGCAATCACGACTTATTATCCACCAAGTTGTCTCGTTAACACAACCTCATAAAACATTCTTTCTGATTTATGGCAATGTTGATTTCAACGTCCATAAAAATGATTGAGCCACAGAAAAGTTTGATATAATTTGTAACTTTTACATTGGTTTTGTATAGCTGTAGAAGTGCGTTATCAAAATTTTTGTTCAACCTAGATTTTGTCATAATTTCAAAAAATAAATCAAACTATCGCCATGGCTTTTCCTTGCTTGCAAATAGCATTGTTACCAGTTATAACATCTTTTTTGATTACCTGCCGCGGTGTTGATATTTTTGACCTCAATTATCCGGTAATTAAAAGTGCCCCCAAATCAGCTACTTCAACTTTATTCGGCTATTCGCTCGCCTTCTTTTCCCGAAACAGTGAATCTTCAGAGGAGTGCAGCGGGTCGACCCGGTGCCACGAGATGCTTATAGGTGCTCCTCTGGACAATCAGTTTGAACAAAATTCAGGCGCTTTTTATTCCTGCCCTGTCAATTCATACACAGACGATTGTTCTTTTGTTCACACATATGAAATACGTGAAGACTTGTCGCAACCTGTTTTTGTTCCTCAGAGAGGCGGCAAAAGTTCAATCAACCCAAACTACTTGTGGAGTTTTGAAAATGCTTGGCTAGGATCTTCCATTTCGACTCCCGAAGTGGACGTGGGTTTGAAACCTGAAGAGACCCTTGAGGACTTCGCAGTTGTTTGCGCCAACCAATTTTCGTTTCTGTCTAACTCAAGATACATGAACACGAAAGCATCATTGCTCCATGAAATCAAAAACGCCAGTTATTTCACCGGAATGTGTTTGAAGTTTGACGACAATTTGGACCTTGTGCCAATAAATGATGAGTTTGACCGGCGCTTTCCTTGCCCGATTATCAGTAGCGACAGTTCAAATAATGTCGGATGTCAGACCGGGTTTAGTTCGGACATGCGTCAGTTTAGATCGGAAGGCTCTCAGTCGACCACAAGACAGTTTCTGTATGGTGCTCCGATCACCGGACAATGGTACGATGGACTTCCCATCATGCAGGAGGAAGTGAGCTATGACTCAATGCCCGAAAATCCAGACTTCTACTCAAGGCCCACCGTTGTTCTTAATAGGTTCGAAAGTTTTAATATAGATTATAATAATCTAAATTTAAATTGAAAATTTGAAGTTTTTTTCAAATCTACGACACGAAAAAAATGAACTTCAAAAATGGTCAAGCAAAGATATTTGATATACAAAATAGGACGATTCGACTTGTTTTGACGAGGAGAAACTTTCCAGTTAATTGAGTTGTTGCAAAAAATTTGATGTAAAATAAATCTTCTGGAGCAGACTCTCTTGGTAGTTTGTAATGATAACTTAAGTTAATTGTCATTCTGCAATTTTAAGTTGGCGCGGAATTTGATTTTTCTTTCAACCGGAAAGGTGTTGAATTTTCAGCAAAAAGTTTTAAGGTTTGTCGATCTTTTTTACGTCGACCAAACTGATGTTCCGAGATCTACAGAAACACTATGAAGACCTTATTAATGGCGTTTTTGGTTTTTTTGGAACTTTCAGACCAAATGCCTTTTTTGGCGCGCGCTTCCACCTCAAAATGTTTCGCCAAAGATCCATTAGAATTAGAATTGTTTATGAGTCTTTTGGCCAAAACTAAATGTAAAATAGTACCAAAGAGTCCCTGAGGACCCTTTAACCCGCTCCTCCTTCCCCGTTAAATAAGCTCATGGTATGCTCAAATTTCAAGTATTGCTCAAGTGAATAAGTGGGCTTCATGGTTTGGTTCGCCGAATCATTTGTGTCGATGTAAATGCAACTATTTAATTATTTTTATTAGCCAACCATTTTTGTAGATATGAGGAGACCGCAACAGCCACCACCAACTTCAAAGTGTCCTCCAGTGTCAACATAGCCCCCCTCTCCCACCCACTTCTCTCTTCGCAGGGGGGCATGACCACTGCAGATGGGATGCACAAGATGCAATACTTAGCAGGAGCCCCCATGTTCGGAAAGGGTGCTGTGTTCGTAGAGGAGGACTCGGCTCCCGACGATACAAATAGTCCACAGATACTACAGCAGATTTTGAGTGCTAAAATGGGACAGGTAAACAAAACTCAACTTCACGTTTTTCGGAACACGATGAAGCAAGTTAGGGCTCAGCAAATTACACTATGTACTGTTGGAGCAAACTCTAACAAAACTAAATGTACGCTCACTCCAGTCACACTCATTGTACGTGTATTCATAGTTGCAGAGAAATTATGTCTAAAATTTCCTAATTTTTTGTCCACAAGTATAAATTTTTTGAAACAGATTAGAACTTTTCAGTTAACTCTCCATTAAACCCTGGATTTAAAGTATGAACTTTAAAGCAGACTGATTTGCCTTCTGGTGTAAAACAGATGATCTCATTCATATTCTTTGCAAACCAGTATTGGTTGGACGTTTGTAGAGAAGGGGAAAATTTTTGTTTATGGATAGGTTTTTCTGTTCAGACCAGTTTCGAATTTGTTAATAATTTTTTTGACGGAACTTTTTTCGAACTCAAAGAGCTAAAGTTCAAGAAAAGTCAAATTTGATTTTTTTTTTTAATGCCAAAGGGTGTTGGCCCATTTGGGAGAGTTCATGCGAACAAACTTCAAGTTTTCTCATAACGTTTACCAAATCCGATACATTTAAAATGTAAATCATGAAAGATATTATATCCAAACAAGACTGCTCGTATTTCAGGGCAAAGCTGTGACTGTTCCGACTGCCACTTAATCCATATCGAATAGTTTTTTGCTAAAATAAAACATAAGAAAACTATAAAATTTGGACAATATCCAAAATTAAGTGTGAAAAGTTGAGTCGTACGAAATTAATATGACTACATAATCAGTCCGAATTCAATTTAGAACAATTTTGTTGTGCGGGATAATTCGCCACGCATAAAAATTTCGCATTGCGTTTTCATGATTTTGAAAAAAAAATTTCAAAGTGCGCATAAATTAGTCACGAGTATGGCCAAATTTTTTCAAACTCACAAAACCTTGCAAAATTGATCGAAGGTGAAAATTTTTTTCAAATTTGATTTTAAGTAGTTGATTTATTCAAAGGGCTTAAAAGTTTTTTGTTGTAAGCTATTATTTCGATAGCCATAAAATGACTGAAGAAAAAAACCACACTGAGCATAAATATTTCGTTTTCATCAAAAGTCGGAACAAAAATGGGTTAGTAGATGTAACGATGACTTCTCGTAAATCAGAACAAAGCCATGACTATTCAGACTGCACATCAAAACCAATTAAAACGCTTCTGATTAAAAATAGACGCAAAAATTGAGAAAGAAAGTTTCTTTTTGTAAAATTTGAATGTTACAATATATCGCGCGTTAACACAATATATCGCGCGTTAATTATCCCAAAATGACCAATTTAGCAATTTTTAAACCCCCATAACTTTACAAAAATGTTCAATTTTTTTTATTTGAGCTTCGGATAGCAAGATTTTTCAGATGTTCTGAAAATATTTGTCAAAACTGATTATTTAACACGCCGAAAGTTGACTGAATGGAAAAAAAACGACTACAGCATAAATATTCGTTTTCTTCGAAAGCTGGAACCAAAATATCATTTTATAGTTGGCATTCCGTATTCAGCAAAAGCTTTTTTTCTCGATAACTTTTTAATAAAGAATCTAACCTAATGTTCTGTTGTGCTTTTCCTATAAAAACTAAATCAGAAACAAAGTTTTTCAGGAAAAACCTTGCTCTTTTTTAAACATTTCAAAAAAATTTTCTGTTTAAACTTTTATATTACAAGATAAACATTTCTCGCCAGAAAAAAAATGTTCTGTAGGGATTGGATGTGGATAAAATTTGAAAAAATCACGTATTTTTCTTTTTCTTATTGAATGCTTTATCAAAGAGTACAGAAAATCCGCTCTGAGACGAGCCTTTTTGTTTTTACACAAACCTAATTTTCAACATGGCAGCTGTATTTTTCAAGGGTTTCGGACGGGCAGTGCTGGCCATTGACCTGACAGGGGATGGGTTCTCGGAGGTGATAGTGGGGGCACCAGACTTCTTCGAGTACAGAACTCACGGGGGAGCAGTGTACATATATTCGCACAACAACACAGTCATGGACGGGTTCAGAGAGGAACCCTTCATGACACTGAAGGTAACAAAACAGTTTTCAATGCATTTAAACGAGATCATTTTTATTGCTAAAACGTGGAAATGAATAACATAATGTTGGGCCCTATGCAGAAACTTCAAACTAAGACTTTTCTCATTTATAAACTGATTTAAAGAGATAGCCAACTTTATAGGCGCCTTTTTCTGTGCTTGCACTTTTTGGTGCTTGCATTTTTTAGAGAAAAAAAACTTTTTATATGTTTACTGAAAAAACTCTAAGTCAATAAATGTTCAAAGCTCGTATAATTTTTTTTGGCAAAATACAATCAGGGGCGTTTCTAGGTGTTTTTTTTTCGTGGAGGGGGGCGAGACATTTTTTGAGAACGTTTTTTGGTTTGGCAGAACTTTCTTTAGGCCGACCAAATTGGTTTTTGATTTGTTTTTGAAAAAAGAAATCAGTTATGAACAAATAGGCCACTTAAAGGATTTTTTTGAAGGTTTTGAAAAAATGAGTTTTTTTGGCGTGTGCTCCTCCTGAAAAGAAGTGTAAGGCGCTCTAGAGTTGGATAACTAAAAATGATGACGTTAATTAGTACCAATGTGCTGGGGACTAAAGCAGGGACTGATTTAGGGAGAAGCAGGGACTGATTTAGGGGGGGGGGGATGATTTAGTCCAAAGCGTCCCCTTTGTACTATTTTGAAAATTTTCTAAAAGCACCTTTGGCGCCAATATATACTAAATTTGAGGTGGGAGCGCGCGCCGAAAAAAACGCGATTTTTTGGCAAAAGTTTCCAAAAAGGGCCTAGAAACGCCTTTTTTGCCTGTTTTCTTTTCAAAATCAAAAGCAAAGCTTCCGAAACCTTGTAAACATTCAAAAAATGTCAATTTTTTGTGGCTAATTTAAGAGCCCAGTTTTTTTTTTTGCAGGGTAAACCGTATAGTCAGTTTGGTCACGCCGTATCCTCACTCGGAGACGTCAATTACGACGGGTGCATGGATTTTGCCGTCGGAGCTCCGAATGAACGACATGAGGAAGAAGACGGCTCCGCGGGTGGATCCGAGAGCACTGGCGCTGTCTACATATACCTCGGGTCACGTGACTGGGGTCTAATGGATACGAAGCAACCAAGTCAAATCTTATATGCGAAGCAGTTCGAACGCCATTCACCCTCGGGAGCTATCCATAGATTTGGATACTCGTTCGCGAGACGTAAGTGTTCTGCTAATTTTGTAGTTGTTGAAGAAAAACCAAAAAATAATGAAATGCGAACTAATTATCATCAGCTTGAAAAAAAAATTAAATTAAACTGAATTGTAATGAACATTTATTGCAAGCATTCTGTTTTTTTTTAGCCAGAGATTTAGACATGAACGGCTTCCCAGACCTCGGAGTGGGTGCCCCAGGACTCGAACCCAACGTTTTCAGACCCGGTCTGTCGGAAGGCAGTGCCGGATTAGTCATCGCGATCCGAATGCGACCCTTAGTACACATAACTGCCTCACTTATCGCTTACGAGTACGATCCGAATAGTATGCCAAGCGACTTGAAACGACTCAACTTCGTGGACATTTTGAGCGGTAACCCGGACAAGTGTGGCATGACTAAAACAAATGCAGGAGAGGAAGTGGCCTTTTGTTTCTACCTTCAAATTTGTTTCGCGTACCACTCGTCTGAAAACATTCCGAAAAACGAAGAGTTGGGCACGATTTACGTCGATGCACATAGTAAGTTTCGATAGTTTTTCCGAATATCATTTTTCTGGTACATTTGCAACAAAGAACCTCAAAAATAAGTGCAAATATGAAAAGTAAAAAAATTTGGAGGAAAAGTGAATTTAACAAGATAGAGTCAACACTGTCACAGGTGACAAATTAAATGAAAAATTGAATAATTTTTGTTTGAATAAATTGTTTTTAGTTGCTCTTGATTCGGACTTCGAGCCCCAGAAACCGAGAGCAGAGTTTGCCTCTCGACAAAACACAATTTCACCCAGCGACATGAGTTTCAGCAGGGTCAAATTAACCTATCCTGAAGGAAAAACTCAAGGAAGACCAATTTGTCAACCCCTGCAACAAGTTCTTGTTGTCAGTGCGAACAACAGGGTCAACCGGGACGCCTCGCAGGCCGGGGAACAAAAGTCGCCTTCGGATCCAGCGAGTGACTCTGCATTTGGATCTGCTTTCAAACCATTGCTAATAGCGATGAATTACTCACTGAGTGATCAAAATGAGGGCGGTTCTATTTCGACCGGAAGTGATAAAATGGCACCCCAAGGGGGACAGTTGATTGATTTGGATTCCTTTCCGGTTTTGAATGCGTCGCTTTCCCATATGGAAATCGCGGCACAGCAAATGTCTATGGATACATTGCTTATTCAGTTCGCAAAGGACTGTGGCACTGATCAAACGTGTATTTCGCGTGCCCAATTAGACGTAAAATTTGAGGTAAATTTATTTCATAAAAACGATGTCTTCCAGATGCAAACTTCCCCATGAATTTTATCAAATTTGGCGATCTAAATTTTGTAATACATGAAGGAAGTCAAACCTCTAAATGCAATTCCTAATTTGTGTTTTTTCTTCAAAATTGTTTCCTGTTTTTGTGTTTTTCAATCAAAACTGCAATTTTGAATCAAATCACTAATATACGCAGGAGCGGATCTAGGATTTTCTCGAGCGTGGGTAGGTGGTGGGTTTCAAAAAAAAATTCAAAAGTTTTGTGCCGACTTTTCTTAAAACTTTTTTTAGGTCAAGCAAATTGATTTTCTGAGCGCTCCCAAATCACATATAAAGACCCTATTTTGGCAAAAATTTCTGCGCAGCAAACAAATTTTCTAATAAAAAGCCAAAAAAAGCGTTTTTAGACACTTTTTGGAAAATTTTGACCAAAAAATCACGTTTTATCGGCGCGCTTATATATTGTATATATTAGCGTGGCGTCGAATCCCTGAGGAGAAAGCGTCCGTCCCCTCCCCTAAATCCGCCCCTGAATCTACGTTCACAATTTGTCAATTTTTCAATACCCATTTAAAACAATTTGCAGTGTTGCTGAGAACTTACAGTTCAGGAGAATAATTCTCCTCCTTTGCAAAATTGTTGATAATTTGGAGTGGGATTCATTATAATACTTTTTTTTTTAGGAAAATGTCCTCAAGGAAACTCAGAACGATGTCACTACAAACTACGTCTACCTGGACACGGAGTTCATAATCAACATCAATATTGCCATCACGGGCGAGCCATCGTACGAGCCCGGAATTCTGATTCAGTTTCCTCCTTACATCTGGTTTGACTCGGTTTACCCCGAGTGCAAATACACCCCGGATGAGGGGCAAATTAGGTGCACATTTGCTAACAAAGTAGATGGGGGCGATTCAATCAAAAAACGTTTCACTTTTATGTCAAAACAAGAATCGGCCGAGTTTATCAAAAAAGAACCCCTGAACACATTATTTAAGTTTAAGTTCTTAACAACAAGCAACCTAACAGACGATAGCACAATTGGCCGAAATCTTTCATTGACGGTTTACCAAGAAGCGGATTTGAGGTTGAGCGGCGCTGGATCGCCGCAGACTGTGATTTACGGAGGAAATATTAGAGGCGCTTTTAGCATCAAAGAGGCAGGCGATGTTAGATCAATAGGACAGCAGTTAACCCATTCATATGAGGTTTATAACTACGGACTATCTGATATTCCAACGGTCGACCTTCAAATTCTTTGGCCAGAGAAGTTTCGCAACGGTAAATATCTTTTATATGTTACCGAGAAACCACAAGTTACCGATTCGCAAGGTAACATATACCCGTCATCCAAGTATTTGTGTTCAAATGCCAACTTTGAAATAGACCCGTTCAACATAGCGAGCGCCAAAAGAGCAGAAACGAACGTAAACCGACGAGTAAGGCGCGCAGACAACGAACCTCCATCTGAAAAATCTATTGTTTCGCAGCCCAGTAAAATGCAAATTGATTGCTTCAATAAAATGGCAATTTGTACAAAATATTCTTGCACATTTAATGGTTTGAACTCAAAAAGTGGCGTCAAGGTTTCGATTCCCAGCCGGATCTGGAATTCGACTTTCGCCGAAGATATGCCCGACTCGGTTGACGTCTTGAGCCACGCCGAGACTAAAATCATAAATGCCAAATATTTGCACCAAGAGCAAGAAACAAACGACATCTCAAATATCCGAACGCGAGTCGTGAAAGATCCGAAGCTAATGAAAGAACAACGGATTCCAATCTGGATTATCATACTAGCTATTGTCGGTGGCTTGCTACTTCTGCTAATTATAATCCTGATTTGCGCCAAGTTGGGATTTTTCAGACGAAAACGGCAAGTAAATCGAGCGAATCACTACAGGCCGCCCCCGCAGCAGACGTTCCAATTAGACGACATGGGAGATTTCGACTACAAGCACGATTTAGAACCCACACCTGCCCCTGCTCCAACTAGAACAATGTATTCGGGTGGGGGATCATTCACTGTAGGCTATGCGGACGACAAAAACTCTAAAAAACAAAGCAAGAAAAAGAGCAAAAAGGGTCAACAACCTCAAAGTCAAAATATGACAGAACCTTACACGGGAGGTTATTGGGGTGATGTTTCCAATATCTAATCATTACTTTTATGCTTCTCTCTTCTTTCTGCTCTCTATCGCTGCATGGTTAACTTTGAGTTCAAATCTCGGATTGAGTCATTTTTTACTATCGATCAAAACTGAAGAAAATACATTGTTTTTATAAAAGTTTATTAATCGTCTCAAGTTTTTTACCAGATTTTGCTTGTTTTGCATTGATTGATTTGCGCTGATGCTTTATTAGTTTTTGAAGCTTGATTGGTGCAGATTTATTTTTGTTCATTCCATCATTCGTATGACGTAATTAAAATGCAAATAAATTGAACAGTTTTTAATAAAAATTGTGATATTTTTAGGATCTAGGAGGAGCAAATCGTGAGTATCTGAGCTCCTTCTTTACATCTGCTTGTTTTGGCTACAGTTCTAACACTTTCTTTTTGCTGACATTGATAAAAAAAATTCGGAAAACGATTCAGCATTTTGATTAATTGATATCTAAAAAACACAAGCATGGCTTAGCACGGTTGGGTCTAGAACTTTCTCAATAGGGTTGTGCATTTGTGTTCAAAAAATTTCAACCTTTTTCTAAGGCCACCTTGATTTTTTCAGCTCCACTGAGTCACTGAAAACGAACTCCTTATTTTTCTAAATACTATGCACTGCGAGCGGGTTCCGCGCAAAATTTGAGTTTTTTGGTTTCTATTTATTGCTGGTTGCCACAGACTGTGATTTTTTAGACATTTGAGTGAAATGGTTTGCAAAAATGGTCTGTATTGTACAAAAATGTCGACTAGATTGTAATCAAAAATGGATTATAATCAATCATGATGGATTACAATGTATTTTTCAATAAAAAAAATAATCAAGTAAAATCCCCTAAAAACCAATGGCGTATAATTATATTTAGGTGATTCATGAAAATTGAAAAAATTTTTGCCAAAAAGCTCTGTTCTGATTTCAAACAGAAACAGAAACATGAATTATTTTATTGAGCTCACAAAGTGTGACGCCGCCGCTACCACAAAATATATATGTTTTTATTCCTTTGCAAAAGGAAGGGAAATGCTATTGGAATAATTCGTAAAACGTTTTAAGCATTGAGAATTGAAACAACTATTCTCGTTCAATGCGAATAATAACGATTCTTCTCGTAAAATACGAGCATACGAAACATTCTTCTCGTAAAATACGAATGTACGAATAGAGAATACGAAGTTAAGAAGTAACTTCTCATTTGATGCGAAAAGTGGTACGACACCAACACCAGTCTCTCTTCAACCACCCCAACCATTCTCTATAAAATACTCTCCATTCTCAGTAAAAATATCTCTAATCTCACCCTTAAAACAAATATTGAGTCAAAAGGCAACTTGCAGTAAATTCATACTAACTTCTTTTCTAATAAAATATTTCTCAGCGAATTTAAGATTTACTTTCTAACCTAGAAAGTAGAAAGGACCCTTTTTTCCTAGCAGGCGTTTTGTCCGGCGTAAATAGTATTGCCAGCGTAATAGCTCCTAAGTAATCGATTATTTCCTATGTAATTCTAGTGCTGGTAAATTACGAGGCGCAATTTGTTGTTGGTTTTAATGATATTTAAACCTTTTCTGCAAGCTTTTGCTTGGCTGAAAAACTCAAAAACAATGAAAAAATATGTCTATATTATAAAACATTCAAAATTTACAGGACTTTTTTACATCCTCTGTAGCATTTAAAGCTCCTTGCTTGATTTTCTGGGGTAAACAAAATGCGCTACACAATCCAGCTTGTTTTTTTTTCGATTTTGATTCGGTTGGGGTGTTATATGGTTATTTAACTTCATAATTACTATTTTTAAAAATCTGAAAAAAGCTGTTCAAGTCAGCTCTGGAACAACAGACAATAAAAGGTGCAATGTTTTATTAAAATTCTAAGTTTTATGTTGTTTTAGGGTTTTAGCAACCTTACTTAGAACTTATTCGCAACTTGTCTTTAATGACATTTTCGGGAAACGACCCGAACCAAAATGCTACAGCATTTTGGAATTCAGTTGAAACCAAAATTCTTTTCTCATTAGGTCAAAGACCTGCTGATAATGATGCACGACGCAGCTATAATAGCAGACAACGATCCCTATTCGGATCATTTTTAACTGATACATATCTTGAATGGTTCAATGACAATGTAACCAATGCTACCACACCGGCACAACTAAAAGATCTCTTCCTAAACAGATTCATTGACGGACGAGATCAATTCAAACATAGAATTGATGCTGAAAATGCAGCTCGCCAAGATGGCGAATTAATTAAAAAATTACTCCCACAGAATCAAATCGTCTGTAGATAGAGAATGGCCCAAAAGTATTGATGTAGCAGTCCATGCTGATGAAGATGCTCAAAATGCTGAGAGAACTATACAAACCAGACAAAGAAGTCAAAAGTATTTTGATTTCTCAATTAAGGGACTAAGACCTCTAGCCCTTAAAAAAAGCTCATGAATACATGATAGAGCATCGAAATGCCAATTGGGATCAATTCACAAACCATGTATTAACTAAGGATCTAACATTCATTGTTGCTACTGATCCTGCTAATAAGTCAGCAACGGATAAAATGACTTCATTAGAAACTCAAATTAAAGAACTAACTAAACTAATCAAGAAGTAAGGAAGTAAGTGCAATCAATGATCAGAATTCATTTCAACGACGTCACCCTGACATCAAGGGAAGATCTAATAGTACACGATTCTGCGAATATTGCAGAATGAATGGACATTCTATATCTAGATTTTCAACAAAGCAAATTCAAGACGAAGTAAAATCAGTTGCGAAAAGAGCTCACAACAAAAAAAGAACGAAGAGTTTCATTTGAAATCGATTATAAACGAAATCGAAGACCAAATAACTTCAATAACCAGAATAACCCTAACCCAAGCAATCGGTTTTGGGATAACCAAAACAGAACTACTAACAATTCAAGTCCTAGCCAAATTATTTATGGCATTCGCCATAATTATAACTACAACGGAAAGAATTTCCAAAAGGCTAATTCACAATCGTCTTTCAATACCAAAAGGCCCCAAACCTATGATGATAAGTATCCCAGAGAAAACAAATTCAGAGAAAACGAACAAGTTGCTAAACAGTTCTACGACAAAGAAAATAGGCAGTTCAACAGTAACCCTAGGGGTCGACCATATAACACTGGAAACTATAATAACAACAATAATCGAGACTCAACGCCATCTCAATCACCAAATTTTAGATCGAATCAGATGCAGTCTGAAACTACGCACTGGGTTGAGGAAGAATTAAATTACTTCGATGCGATCACTGATTTCTTTTCTTTAAACTATTAAAGTCTCCGAAACCGAGCGATGATAGTAATCCTAAATCAAGGATATATCTTAGCTTTATATCATTTTGCCACCGGAGACAAAAATAGTATAGTGGACTTGAAATTGAATTCATGATTGACCCAGGATCAACTTATAGTATCATAAACTACCCAGTGTATCAGGAATTGGAAAAATTAGGTCAAAAAAGGACAATATACCGATTCAAAATTAAAGCAAAGACTTATAATGGATCTGATATACGTATGTTTGGTCATACATCTATCCAATCTTGTTTCGACACTGATGGAAAATATCCATCTAACCACAAAGTGTCGATAACTGAAGAAAATACTGCTAATCTACTGGGAGTAGACTTTTGTCATCTCTTCTTAAAAGCTCTCTACTTTGATATCCCCGCAGTTGAGCTAAAATCAAAAGAAGGTGTAATATCCTACGGGTTGATGAACAATGATAAAGAATATCGTAATGTTTTAAAAATTGTCTCAATTAACTTGAAAGAACCCTTGTTCATTCCAGCACGCTCTACATACTTAAACAAACACTTGGCTGAACCAAATTCATACTCAGAAAAAGGGACTACATTCCTGCCTCATAAAAATACAACCAAAACCGAATTGGTTTTCATAAATACAGTTTGTACTCAAATTGAACAGAGCCTACTTATCCTAATTGATAATCAGAAAGATCATCCTGTCACACTAAACAAGTTTGTACTAGGCTATGCATTAACTGATATTCAAGGATACGAGGATAAAATATTTACTATCCACGATTGTGATGAGTTCACAACGAGAATTTTACACTAAAGTTCGGAATTCGATAGCTGTTTCATGCTAAATACTGTTGTTAAACTACACAGGAACGCAACAACCAATTATCCGGCCCCTGTCTACAATTTGTAGACTTCAAAAAAAGGTCCATATTTGAATCGAATATGCCCATCGCTCATACAATCTCTGCAGATAGAGCAATGAAAAAAGGGTTTGCTGAATCAATTAGCAAAAGGTATCCTGAGTTACGACACTTTTGTAACTCAATACATGCTAACATTAACGATATTCTCATCTTCACTGATCCAAAATCTGGACAAATTATATATAACCTCATTAACAAACAGAGATACTTTCAGAAACCCACTTACGACGCTATATTCAACACCTTGTCCGAAATAAGGATCATGCTATAGCAAATAACATTCGATCTATCGCAATGCCCAAAATTGCTTGTGGCTTAGATAAAATGAATTGGGAAAAAGTTTCCCAAATCATCGTCGATGTATTCCAACATTCTGGAATTACTATATTTTTCTATGTTTCAGGACAAGAAATCAAGGACATTTGATACAGAAAATGTATCAGAAATATTTGAACAAATTGGTTCAGATATAGTCATAGTATGCAAAAATGAAAACAAAATAACAACCGACTTTTCACATGATGTAAAGAACCTTTGCAGGCCTCCCTTGAAAGAACAATTTAAAAAATACCGAAACAAAGAACATTATGATCGACTAATTGCCTTTCTAGTCAACGAAACGTTTACCCAATACTCCTCAATTGATAAAGACAATAGTAGTACTTTGGAAAAATTTGAAAGTACTATTAAATTTTTATCTGATTTCGATTTTAAACAAAGTGATATATCGGATGATGAAATTGCAGATGTAATTCAAATGCTGATAGAGGATCAGGATGTTAATTCTCATCACAAATATGATATTGGAAAAACAAAACATAAATTCCATATACCACTCGAAACGGACGCAACGTTCAAAAAGCAACAACCTAGTAAAATCTCAGTCAAATCAATTGGACAAATTGATGGATGAACTAATTCAAGCAGGCATAGTCAGAGAACTAAATGAAAAAGCTGATATGAACTCATGGTTCGTAAACCCAGTCATCATTCTTCCAAAGAAAGACTACGTTAAGTTGGTCTTGGATGCTAGGTATCTAAACTCAATCACAGATACTAGCAATT